TGAAAATTTGGGACAATTTATGGTTAAAAAAGCCACAATTCCTAAAGGATTAAAGGTATTGATAATTCATGTACACTAGCTTCTGTGTTAAGATTAAAAAAAAAGGAAGCACAATATTTATATATGACCTTTCTTTAAAAAAATATTGTTCTTAGCAATATACAGTACAGCACATTGCAGATTTAGCACAGACAAGACCATTTTATTGATGTTAAATAAAGTGCATCTCAGAAAACCAGGGCTAACTAAGCTTTTGATTCAAGTCCTTGTGCACAAGATAAAGTTATGCATGAAAGAAAAACCTGAAGCCAATTGGGAAAAAATGATAAAATAGTTGTAAGTATGATGGGTTTAGACGCAAGAAAATTAGACTAACAACATGTTCACACAAAGTGATCCCAACCAAACATGAACTTTTTTTTTTTGCATTTGGAAAAGAGACTAACTTGGTTGTTCTAATTTTCATGCATGTATGCATTTCTCAAATCCAGGCAGAGTTCTGACCTGGATGTGAATTCTCAGATACGGCCTGATTCTGCAGCTCCCAGTGAAGTCGGTGGAAAGGCATGGCATTAATTCAGTGGGAGCAGGAGTGAGCCCATAAGCTGCATATAAATGACAATGGTGATGTCATTTGCTAGAATTCAGGGTGGAGATGGTGTCAGTATATGGAACTACTGATACTTATAGGTAAGAATGTCTGCAACCCATTGGAAACTGAGCCACAAATTCAGATACCTCCCCATAGCTATCAGCATGGTCTTTTTGCTGCTTAAGAAGCTGTGATGGGACTGGTTCCAGGAATCTCTCCTGGCATTTACCCAGCATGCTACAGAGGCTGCTCAGGGAACTCTGTAGGTAATGCCAGTGAAGAAGATATGTCTCCTAAGTGACACCTTTTTGTATCATCTTTCTGGGCCTCTCCATTTATCTCGATGCTGGTCTCTCTCAGGATTTACTCAAGCTCTAAATGAGGTTAAATTCCATCTCGAGTTGACTGAGCATTTATGTGATACCAGGAGGTATATGGAATTTGGTTCCTTTCCTTCACTGTTAATTTCTTTGACCATTCCATCTTTTCACTGGTGAAATCAAAACCCTGGAACAAATCCTGAGATTTAGGCAGTAGTGCACAAGTCTGTGCTATCTAACATTTACAATTTTTTCCAGGTAAATCTAGGTGTGACCCAAGGACCTCTTAAGGCCAATTGGTAGATGGAACAGGGGATGCATACAGCTTTATAAAAACCCCCTCGGTTAGGTATATGCATAATAATTCACCAAAGGGTGGCATGTGAGAGCCAGTAGCCCATTGGTCATCAATCATTTTGAAAAATATGTATGGATAATATTTAAGAAGTTATGTCTCTATACTGAAAAGTATGTTCTCAAAGCCTTGGCATGAAGGCAGGTAAACAGGGAGTGATATGCCTCAGACTGGTTCCCTCCAGACATGCAGTAATAGATGCATATCTCCCTGTCTGAGCATTGCTCATCAAGAGATTGTGAAATCTTCAAGAGAGGAAATGTACAGGAAGAAATAAAACAGCAGAAGGAGACATCGTTGGTGTGTAAAGACAATACATTGTTGGTGTATACCTAGGGTCCAGAGGTACCTCCCTGCATCCTTCACTGAGGAGACTGCATGAAGTCTTTTGAAGCATGATGTTTCTTGAAGTAAACACCATATTAATTTTTTTTCCTCCTTCACTTATTGTCGTAGTGATAGTTTCTTCCACTTCCCAGTGAGAAGGACCCTAGTCATTCTGCTTGTAATGGCATAGATTCATTCCTTCTACCACAGGCTATGAAGTGCACTTTAGTAGGAAGTTTAAAGTTGCTATGTTTTCTACAGGTGTTAACAGCTTCACAGCTGAGAAACTATCTTGCAGTGTGACAACAACTTTATTCTGCCCACAAAATCTTATCAACAATACCCTAAACTTATATGCTCATAGATGCTGCTCTTTATATCTTGTAACTGTGTATGCAGACATAAAACTCTCTAACAGTGGACACTCTGGGACACACAGTCAGTGGGAGAGCTGAAAAACAACTTCACAGAAAACAAACTTTAAAGACCCATTTTTTATTTCACAAGGCTCAAAATGAACCAATATCCCCTTCCCCTCCCCCCAATTTTTTGGAAAAAATGTTTGATATATTTTTCATTTGGAAACCAATACTTTTTCTGTATTTTTTAATTATTATTTTTAAAAGGCTATTTTCAATTAACCTTTTAATTGAAAATTCCATCCTGGTCTACTCAGATGGGGAGAGAGAGAATACAGCCAGGTTAGATTACAGCAGCATCAGTGTTGTGCTTACTAAGTAAAGCTACTCAAAAATTGGAATTTCCCTCCTTTAGGAAAATCCAATATTTCAACATTTGTTTGTGTCCCAAATTGGGACAAAAAGGTGATTTTTTTTTCACAGAGTGAAATTCTGAAAAATTCACAGTACAATTTCAATTGAAACAAAACATTTCTGTGCTCCCAAAATAGAAACATTTTGTTTCAGTTTGTTGAACTGACTCAGTATGCTTCATTTTGGCTCAAATCAAAATTACACTTCATTTCCCTATTGTGGTGCACTGCCTCAGGGGAGTTGTAGTTCGGGAGCTTGATGCCCCATTCTCCTCTATGTGCCAGGCTCCCAGGCCAGACTACCTCTTTCACAATACTTCCACAATTATGTGACTCCCATGATGCACCATGCATCATGGTCAGAGAGGAGTCTGCATTTCACCATGGGAGATGTAGCCTGCTGGGGAGTCCAGCCCATGGAGAGAATGGGCACGTCAATGACAACTGTTAGGCACTGTGCCACAATAGGGAAATGCAGTCTAATGTTGAACTGACTTGAAACAAAATGTTGCAGGTCAGTTCAAAGGTCAAATTGACCTCAAACAAAATATTGAATTTAGATTTTTTTGTGATGGAAATTTGAAAATTTTCAACAAAATTGTTATTACTCCTCAGAAAATTTTGATTTTGTGGAAACTACATTTTCCATAGGAAAAATCATTCCAACAGAAAATTCTCAACCAGCTCTATTAATAATTTCTTGTGTTAGTTAAATTATTTTAAAAGCTGCTTCCATTATTAAAAGACTCCACTGTATTGTGACTATGCTAATGACTGGCAGAAAGAGACACTAATGGAATATTAAACAAAGAATTTCATTAGATTAAGACAAACAGGTTTATCCACGAAGATATTCTATCTCCCTGATTCACTGTAGACCTTCTGCCCAGAACCTTCCCTAGCCGTGTGGCACATTTAAAGAAACTGTACACATCCAAACCACCACCTGCTTTGAGGCATTCTCCTAATCGGGTAACAAATGAACTATGATAGTCTTTTGGGTGTAAAGTTGCCCGTTCTTAAGCAGCAAGAAATTTGCAGGCCACTCAGCTTGTGATAGCAGTGGGTCTGCTAGCTCAAACACCTCAGCTGATAGCAAAGGTTGAATCACACAGAGAAAGAGGTAGGTTCTGAGTACCTCTTAGGCTAAAACTAATGTGAAGAGCCTTGCAATAATCTAATATAGCTGTGACAAAAGAATGAATTACTGTGGTGAAATACACAGCTGAACAGAAATGTTCCAACCACCAAGCTAGGCAAAGGCAAAAGACAGCATTTCTGTAAATTCCTGCTAATTCTCCAGAAGCAGGTGCGGATCCAATGCAACCTATAGGCTGCATGTGCCAATTGGATAATGGCACACAGAAACATTAAGTTAATGACCATTAGCAGGTTAGACAAACACCTGTAAGGGATAGTCTAGCTAATGCTTAGTCCTGCCATGAATGCAGGGGACTGGACTAGATGACCTCTCGAGATCCGTTCCAGTCCTACGATTTATATGTGTTAATACATCATTTGCATATGCAATCACAACAATTGTACATGCAAATTTGACATATAATTGTATGTACTTTTTAATGTATGCACATTTTGAAAATCAAGGCCTTATCTTTTTGCCTAACTACAGACCAGAAAGGAATGTTTATTTGTTTTGTTTGGTTAGTTGTTTTATTTATTTTTTTGGGTGGGAGGAGGCGTTTGAGTGACTGGGAGGGAAAAGAAGACATGCCTGGTTTGAGAACCACAATATTGGACTGAAATCATACTAAAAAAGGAGCCGGGTTTTGCTATATTCTCTGAACATTGGGTGGAATATTAAGTAAACATGCTTCTTTTAGAATTTATACAAGCTACTCACACAAGAAGTGATACATTCTATACAAATCTCCAATTCCGGATACAGGTTTTTACAAGGGAAATCCCAGAATCAACAAGGAACAAAAGTTTATTTAAGCACAAACTGGTCCAGCAACCTTTTTCAATGGTAGTAAATCTCAGATCACTAAATGTTGTATTTTATGAGATGATCATGTAACTGCATTCATAACTTTCTAGTGTCTGCCAAGTGATTGCTTGTTGCACATCTCTTCAAATTAAATTGCTGACAAGTTGGTTCAATGCTCTTACCAACAATTTGCAGAGAGTAGGAGCCTGTCAGAAAGACTTAATTGGCGATTTAAGGGATGGTTTTCTGGAGTCATTCCGAAATGACAGTTAATGTACAGATAGCTTTCCTTGAAAACTCTCCCACAAAAACAAAGGAACTTGATATCTCCATCAAAAGTACATGATACACAGGGAAGTTAACAGAATTATATATTTAGAACAATGTTGTAGAGAATATATATTATATATACACACATATATCATTTAATTTATGTTCACTTACATATGCACATCCAATTAATATGAACTACATATTTTCATTTAGAAGCCACAACTTCTATTGACTATTGTTACTTGCCAACCTACAGTTACCTTGCATGGTAAAGGAGCATAGAAAAGATGTCTACAAATCAAAGAGATTAGTAGGTAACATATTACAGGAATAGGAAAAATGTTCAAATAAGCAAAGAGTTTAACTTATACTGATTAAAGCAAAGTAAATTAAAGATAAATCTGAAATGTTACCCTTAATTCATGACATTGCATCCATGTCTTGCAGCAGTCTGGACATAAGATATGAAAGCTTGGCCATTATTTGGAGATCAGTTCAAAACCTAGGCATAAGAGAATGAAATATAATAGAATGAATGCTGAACACTTGATATCTAAGTCACCTAAATCTTAACCCTGACTTCTTTTATATGGGTATACACTCAACTGGTTACCAGCTGCTAATTTCTATTTTTAGTTAGATTAAGTGAAATTAGTAAATCAATATAGAGAATGTGCTGTTAGAGTGGTTGCTAACAAAACTCAGTTTTTTTCCTGCTTTCACAACATCAACCACACCTCAAAAAGCCCCCTAGAAGTCCTACATCAAGCACAGTTTCTATAAGTGAAAAAAAAGAAGAGCTAGAAACACCAAGCAGTCCAGCAGGGACTTTAGCAATAGCAATCTGTTTTATGTGGAAGGCACTGGACATATTTATGGGCACCAGTAGAAAACCATGAAATGAGGTGTATAAGATAATAGAATGGCATTGTCACTACCTTTGATAAACTGGCACTGTTTGGTTACGATGAATTTGATTATACAAGTGGGGAAAAAATGGGGATCAGGACAATCTCCCACCAAGGAGCCAGCTAAATTAGAACAGGAATTTATTCCTTAATAATGCAAAACCAATTAAGCTTCTTAAGCAGCAAGGATCCATAACTTTTTGTATGTTAACATAGTATGCACAACTCATTTTAAGAATGGTAAATAAGATTGAATTCCTGGAGTGAAATTTATTCACAGTGCTAGATACTGCTCTACAGAGGGAAAAGCATTGAAGATCAAATGAAACTAGGGGAGTTTTGACTGAGTAGGGACTGCAGGATTGGGCTGTAGGTGGAAAACACTATTCAGATAATACATGTTCTTCACAGGGACTACATGATGTACTGTATTTACTGTGATTTTGAGATTAAATTGATGTTTTTATTTGATTTCTTGACTAGAAAGAAATGGTGCTTTTTAATCTTGTTTTGTTGTTGGCATAGAGCATTTACGGTTAATTAGAATGTCTTGTTTTCTATGTCATACACTGTGCTGTTTTAGGAGAGTAGTCTGGTTGAGCGTTATGCATGTGTGTGTATCTGTGTGTGTGTGTGTGTGTTTTGGTTTTCCTCCCTCACCCACCTTTTGTGGTAGCTAAATATTTCTAACTTCTCTATTAACCTCTCCTCATATTTTTCTTACATTACATATTACAAAAGTAGTGTGGTAAGTTGTTTCATTCCTTTGTAGCATTGTGTTTTGGCCAAATGAAGGAAATGATTTGTGGGGAGTTTGTATAACACTAAAATCCTTCTATGACTAATTCAGATTCACACGTGGTGAACAGAACAGGAGAGGGGTGTTGCATATGGAAATCTCAGGATGCATAAGTATGATATCAGTGTGCCCACATTTACCTCAGAAGTTAAGACCAAAACAGCCGAGGTTATGAGGTCAGACTGGGCAAGGATGCAGGCTGGACTGGCATGGACCTACTGACATCAATTCAAAATGCTTATTTTACTCCTGAATTCTCTGTATGTACTCCACCAGAATGATTTTCTCTCATATATCATTATCAGGTACTTATTGTTAGGAGAACAATTGTTATACCAATAGAATAAAAACCAGCAGGATCTTATTAAGAGGGATAAGGCCAAGATGCCACATTTATTGTAAATGTAATGGTAAAGCAAAAGATAAAAGTAAACAACGTTGTTTGACTACTTATTCCTATTACTACTTATTTCTTACACACACACACACACACACTCATTCATTTAAGTTCTGTTTAGGTGTTATAGTTACCAGCCTAGAAGTTGCTCATGCCAAGTTACTGGCCAGGTATCTTGGTCATGAGGATGGAGCCGAGTCTGTGTCAGGTGCACCTGATGCTCCTGGAGGTTGGCAGCAGAACCAGAGACTCAACGTCATCAGTCTTTAGAGTTCATTCTTATAGGAATTAATTCCTATGTTAGTCTATGGGAGCTGTTTCATCCTGCTGTTGCTGACTCAATCAGCAGATGGCACATTCCTGTCCAAAGTGGTACATTCCTGGTGGCTCCACTCTGTCCAAAGTTTGTGTTTATCATCCTTCCAGGTGATGGGGTGGATCCCAGTTTACCCTCCGGGGGTTCTGGTGGTCCACTTTACACATTCTTCGGCCGATGGCTACTCCCTTTCTAGGCTGGCACCTCCCTAACCATTCATGTACATCAAGCATTCATCAACATACATTCCATATCTTAACCATATTTTAATTTACTGTCTCCACCACTTTCGGGGTGTGTGCTAATTCATTTGAGACTCCCGGCCCTTTAATCACAGAGGGTGGGGGTCTGTTCCTAGGAGCCATTGCTATTATAATGAAGTGAAAGTCACTTAAGGGCTTATAGCGTTTGTTTACATTGTATCAATTACTTCAAGAACAAAGTCAATTAACTTGTTTGTAAGTTTTACATAGTGATAAAGTATCTTTCACAGGACAGATACAATCAATGGTTTCTACAGACAGTCTGGTCATTCTATGACAGACCTGCGGGTGGCTATTTTACAACAGAAAAACTTCAAAAACAGACTCCAAGGAGAGACTGCTGAGCTGGAATTGATATGCAAACTAGATACAATCAACTCAGAATTGAATAAGGACTGG